CCCCCCCCACCCCATCCCCCCCCTCCCCTCCCCCCACTCACGCCCATAGAGCGCCAACGCAGCGCAGTCCGGCCCGGCCCGCACGTCGAGGCGCAGCGGCTGCTGCTCCTGGTGCCGCTGGATCTCTCCGTTGGCGTCCCCGATGGTCAGGAGCCGCACGCCGGGGAACACCGACACCGCCGCCATCTTCGCGCCGCGCCGCGCCCCCGCCCCCGCCCCGCCGCCCGCCGCGCGGCGCCCCCTACCGGCGGGAGGCCGCCGAGGACGGGGAGGTGGCGCCACCTGGCGGGAGGAGGGCGCGGGGAAATGGGGGGAGGGGGCGGGGAATGGGAACGGGGGGGGGGGATAATAATGGGGATCACGGGGATAACGGGGATAAGGGGAATAACGGGAATAACGGGGATCACGGGAATAAGGGGAATAACGGGAATAACGGGGATAACGGGGATAATGGGGATAACGGGGATAACGGGGATAACGAGGATAACGGGGATAAGGGAGATAATGGGAATAACGGGAATAATGGAGATAACGGGGAAAAGAGAGATAATGGGAATAACGGGGATACCGGGGATAACGGAGATAACGGGGATAACGGGGAAAATGGGGATAAGGGGAATAACGGGAATAACGGGGATCACGGGAATAAGGGGAATAACGGGAATAACGGGGATAACGGGAATAACGGGAATAACAGGGATAACGGGGAATGGGAAATAATGGGAACGGGGATGGGAGGCGGGCAGGGAAGGCGGCAGCGCCGCACAGCACCGAGCACAGGAGGGGCTCTGCGCCAGCAGCAAAACTCTTTATTGCCCCACAGCCGCTGCCCCATAGCGGCCCCATAGCAGCCCCATAATGGCCCCACAGCAGCCCCATAACGACCCCATCACGGCCCCATAGCGGCCCCCAGCGGCCCCGCCGCCGTTCGCGACTCTCTCTCTGCATGCGCCGTCCCCACCGCGAGGCTCTGTGGGGAAAAGTGTGACAGTCGGAGCGGGTCGGGGCCCCCCGGCTGTGGGGCAGAGCTCCAAGTTATGGGGCAGAGCTCCAAGTTATGGGGCAGCCCCACACAGCGCCCCTACCTGCACTGCGTCGCCCTGCGCCGCTCCCCTGCATCTCCTGCTGCCTGCAGAGCGAGATTGGGGAGGGGGGGGGGCAGACCCACAGGTCCACAGAGGCCCCACAGACGCTCAGACCCACAGCCCCCAGACCCAAAGACCCCCCAGACCCACAGCACCC